TAAGCATAAAATAGAAACATACCATTTCTGCAATCACTCTGTCAAACCTTTAGCCAAGGCAAGCCGCTTCAAATCCAAGAGTAACTTCAAAGCATTCCTGAGCAGGAAAGCATGAACAGGATGGGCAGGTGGGGACCAAGACTAGTCTCAAAAGCAGAGCCCTTGGGAAGATGGGGAAAGGAGCGCACCCAGACACTTGACCACAATTTGAGGAGAGAAACCACACAAATGCCTAGTCAGCTGTCCACTGAGCCTGCCCTGCCAGGCTTACAAAGTAAAAAACACACACAAAAACCAAACACACACCCATTGTGAACCACTCCCATCACTTGAGCTGATCCCAGAGGATGAAGAGCCCCACGCGGATGCTGAGGCCTCTGCCTCTGCATTCCCGGTGCACACCAGCCCCTTGGTATTACTTGTACTCAGTTTTCGCCTATGGATCTCACACGACCAAAACCAGGCGCAGCCACTGTCCTAAAGAGTTTGTGCCTACGGCTGACAAGGCAAAGCATGGGAGGGCAGGGAAGGACCCTACACTCGTTTCTCAAGTCACACAGAGACTAACCATAGTCCTTGCTGAAATTTGGGTCTTGCCTTGCTCCTGGCTGTCTTACCCATGCCCTCCTTTTCCAAAAGGCTGCAGAGAACGGAAAACTAAAGACAGACATGCACCAACCATAATAGAAAATAAAGCTTTTTTCCCCTAAGCGTTTACAACTGTCAGAAGCAAACCTGTGCCCCAAAAGGTCCTGATGTGCAGCCAGAGGTCTCCCTTATCCATCAGTCCTATTCTCAGCCTCCCCCCACAACTTCTTCATTTCCTTCTGAGATGCATTTTCTACTTTACAACTACCCACTGGGCTTCTCCAAAGCTACTCTGCAGGTGTCTCAAAAACCCCAGGGCTCACAACTAGAAAGTGGAAACCTGCTGTGAGAGAGGCAGCAGCTCAACTGGTGTGGATCATCCATACACGGGATGCAGCTTCCTTTTTCATGTTACAGCCTGGAGCCATCCCCAGGCCAGATGCTTTATTCACCAGTTCAGGCAAAAAAAAGTTCATGGTCAGCCAGCTACAGGCAAGCAAGTCAGGCCTATAAATATCTCTCTCTAGTATCTTTAGCCTTAAAAGTTTATACAAAACTGAATATAAGAATAGATTCTCAGGGGGGAAAAATCTAACAACTAAATACCCGACATCTTGTACACATCTGCTTTAAAACAGTTACTCTTGCCAACGCTTTAAAAAGCTGGAGATTTAGTGACTGACACCTGATTCAGAGACCCCACACTAGCAACAGCCTGTGAGTATTCAGAAAAGTTCTTCTGCACAAAGCTGGGGAAATAGCCTTAATACAGTGAAGTCAGAAGAGTGAGTAACTGGGGAAAACTGGTGCAGGGATCTTGATCTTACAGATGCTTAAACCTGTTCTCACCTTGAGGTCAACAGGACTTCTCAAAAGAGTTAAACCGAGGCTTACGAGTTTTCCAGGTTTTACACTTCTAGCACTTTAAAAAAATTTTTTTGTAAAAGATTTACAATTACATGAATGGGTCAATTTAGCAATTGCAGAAATCATGGTAACGGCCAGATAGTGGCCAACAACAACAGCCCACAGCAGAAGCTCACTGCTCCTGCAACAGTTGGTAAGAAGGCCCTTACAGAGTCAGAGAAATCATTCATTCCACCTTAACAGCTGAAAGGAGACATTAAATAACATTTTCAGTAAGGTTGCTGGAGACTTGGCCGGGGAAAAAAAAAAAAAAAAAAAAGACTGAAATGGACACGGAGTGGCTTAAAGGTACTTTGAAGATTGTTTGCCAAAGAGGACAAGCCTTTTTCTGAGCCTTTTTGTAACCTGCGGCTCTGGGACCCAAACTTGTGAATACGTAGATGAAAACTGCTGCAGATGTTGAGTGCCACTGAACCAGAAGGAGGCACTCCTGAAATCCAATTCCTTCCTCCAACAGGCAGGCACAGACTGAAGGAGAGTAGAAAGGTAGGTAGCGAGGCCACCCCAGTCCCACACGGCTGGCAGGACCCTGACCCAAGATGGGCCACGCACCCCCAGCTGTCACTCCTGCCTCGCCACCATCCCCAAGGGGCTTGTCACCATGGAAAAAAGCCGCAGTTTCTAAGGCTCTTTTTAAATAAAGGCAGGCAGGCAACATTACGTTAACCGGCATGCTGGGACAGCATGTGGCTCAGCAGCCACCTGCCCGCTCCTGGGACGGAAACAGCCTGCTCCTGACCACAGGCAGACAGGTCCACACCACATGTGTCCATTCTATGTGTCCATAACATGTGTGTACACATACATGCAAGTGTTGTACATGAGCCTCCTCCCCAGTCTGTTTCTACTCCCAGTCCTACAGAGCTGAGTCCTGCGTCAGCAGGATCATGAAGCCTCACCATGGAAAAACCATGAAAACAGCTGAAAGAGCTCACCAACCCGCCCAGTGGGGTGGTTATTTGGACAATGTCATTTTTTGGCACGTTCTTTATGTAAGTCCCTCAGCCAACCTTGTCTCTCAGCCCCTGCCACTCCTCTAATGCACTCTCCCTGTTCTGCAGCAGCAGGAGATTATGCTGGAGCACATGGACCTTCCCCTCCACACCCTGTACCTCCTGCCCCCAAAAAGGACTCTAGCGCTCCCAATAGCTGTCCCCTTCCCCATGAAAGGGACTGGCATTCACCAGAGTTGTCAGGAGCACTGCATACCTCCACTGCCTAACAACAGAAATGCTTTCAACCTTCAGTGCCAAACCCTGCAGTACTGCCACCCACAAAACCCCCCTCACCTGCTCTCACAGACTCAAGAACTGAGAAATCCTCAGGGTGATACCTTTGGATATCTATCAGACAGCCACGCTAACTGTAATTCTGCAATTTCATCAAGTATTTCTCTGAGCTTCACTGTTCTGAAGTCAATAGGTATTGAAAGGTCATCAATGTGATTCCAGGGTTAAGATTAAATAAAATCCCAAACACCAAGAACAACTCCTCCTCCTCCTCCTTATGAAACGCTCTGCAGAGTGAACAGAAGATGAAATGCTTTTCATCCATTTTCTATTTTTAAACCCACTTGTTAATGCTTCTTGGCTTTTTAAAACATCCTTTGACTAGAGCTCTATTAATTACCCAGTGGTCTCAGCAGTATGAATTCCTTCAGGATTCTTCCCTAAAGGAAACTCCCCTCACTTTTAGCCTAGTTTGACTTCCAGAGAAGCTCGCTTTCTGAAGTTTCTTGTGTTTGTTTTTCCTGCCACAATTAAAGCTCCTATCTCCTGTATGTATTAATTTATTCACATGAAACAGGTCAGAAATACAAAATGGGAATGCTTTATGTAGATTATGTTTCCAGACCAACTCCAAAAACCCTGTCTCACCTTGAAAAGCCTTCTCACAGGTTTCATTAGTTGTCCTCTTGTGAAATCTCTAACTGATCGCATCTTGCTTTAAGAGAGCGTTTTGGACTACAAAACTGTCAGCCTTTGAAAACTCATCTCCTGGTGGATCTTCATAAACAGCTTAGCTTGTTAACACTTAAGACATAAGCACTGATCTCTCTCTCTCCCTTTTACTGTGATGCAGCTTAGTACTCTACTGCTTTTCACTGTAAAGCTAATGTTGAAGAGATAAACCAATTACTAGGAGTAAAAGTCTGCCATGGTGATCATTCCTAATAGTTACCAGATATTCACGGCCTTGCTCCTTTGTCAGCCACTAGCTTTTACCTTGAACTCCCCTGCCTGCCAGCAAGCATCTTCACACCAGAGCAAGCAGGTTGGATCCTTCCTCGCACCCTTCCTGCATTTCCCTTTTCTTCTCCAGATGTTTGTAACTGCTGAATTAAGGTAACTGATTTTCTATGCATCACTATTTCCCACAACCAAAGAATCTCTAAAACTGCAGTTATTACATTGATACAAGATCACCAATGACTTCTTGATGGGCATTTTTTCCCTTCTTTTTTTTTTTCTAAAAAGGAAAAAAACTCTAGGACTTCAGCAAGACAGGTTTTAAGACTGGGGCAGCACCTGAACTTACATTCCTACGCGTGTATTTAGAAACATAAATAAGATTATTTAATTTTCATTTTAAGATACCAGAAAGCTCCAGATACTCACTACAGAAAAACAAGTGTAGTTTAAAAGGTTTGTTTGTTTGTTTGTTTTCAATAAACCTGAAATTATGTAGCTGTGAAGGGACCTCTGGAGACCATGTTGCCCAACTCCTCATTCAGAGTACGGCCTATTTGGATCATGTTGCTTTCCTAGCTCAGCTTTGAGTATCTCCACAGATGAAGACTTCACAGCCTCTCTGAACACCTCATCAAATGTCTGACCAACTCTCATGGTGAAAAAGATCTTCCTAACACCCAACTGGAATGTCCTTCCTTGCAACTTGCAACCATTACCTCCTGTGCTACCACTGTGTATCTCAGAGGAGTCCAGCTTTGTCTCCCCTGCACCCTTCCATCAGATAGCCATAGACAGTAATAAGATCTCCCTTTTGCCTTTCCTCCTGAAGAGCAAACAAAACCCATCCCACCCTTTCCTTCCATGTCATGTTTTACAGCACCCGAAATTCATTACGGTCCTCATTTGACTCATTTGTTTTATCAGTCTCCATTTATCTTCACCAACCACTATTCATACACACGGCAACAAGTGCATTTCTGGCCCTTCTCCCATTTCTTTTTGATGGGCACTTTACTTGTAATTCAAAATGTTAGCAGTGCAAAGTTAGTAACTTCTGCAGAGCACACTTTCCTTGTCTCTGGACAAGTTTGTTTATTCAAAATGCCTGCAGATTTAAAACAAACAGATCCCTTCTGTGATTTCAGTGTAGGTATTTCAATTAGCACAGAGCATTCACATGCACCCTTAGTGCATCATCACCCCACCAGGAACATTTCATTACTGCATCATTACGACAAAACAACAAGGGCTGAGTGCATCAAAGTCAGCAGATTTTGCACACATCAGTACTACCTTCATTGAAGTTGTCATCGGTCGAGATGTGGGTCAAGGGAGACTGGGGCCGAGAGTCCCCACAGAGGGAGTAGCTATGTTCTGCCTGGATGAGGGGTGCTGGGGACGCCGGAGACAGTTCCACCTCCATTATTTCATTCTTCTCAGATAAGAAGGGATCATTCAAGAGCTGGCCTAGGACATCTGGTGAAAACTCATCCAGGAACTCTGTGAAGTGCTGTGAAGATAAAAAGGGCATGAAAAAGTTTATCTCCTTGCCTGTCTGTCACACTAACAACACAAAAGCACTGATCAGAACAATTCCAGCATCTGCACCAGGCATCCGTGCCAGTCAGCAACAGGATCTACCAGCCCTGTCTAATGACCTCCTCCTCCAATCACTGCTTCAAGCTGAAGAGCTACAGATAGAACAAAAGTCCTCTCAGAGGCACACATTACAACAGAAGAGCCTGTGATTAACTTGCAACGAAAAAAGAAAATAGAAGCATGGTAGTCATGTTCTGAAGTGGAGTCCTTCCCCCCCTGCCCCCCTACGGCACTCAGTACAGCACTCCAGCAAAAATGGGAAAGCACATTTCACCCAGAGAGTGTGAAAGATCCTGCAGGATTTATCAACAGAACATTTTGTGTGTGGAATAGAATATATTGGGTTAGTTTTCACTGAGGCAGAGAAGAAAAAGGGAACATACTCAGAAAGAGACTCCAACACCGCGCATGACTATTTGAGCTGAACAGAACATTCAGCACTTTCTAGGAAAACGGGTCCATGTACATCCCCAGCCAAGCAATTAATGGATTTGCTATAAAATGTGTTTCCTGGCTGATTTATGCATCTGTTTTAGAAGTCACATTCCACCTAGGACTAGAGCCCGTATCCAGCTTCTAAGCCCCACGGCTAAAGCTCCTAACAGCCAGTACTAATTACCACTTTATCTACTACACTGAACTAATTACACTGACAACGCATGTTATGGCTGTATGTAGTAGGATAACTCTGTGTTTATTTCTTATTCAAAATAAGCACAAACCAAATCTCACTATCTACTTCCTTGAGACTCCAATGCAGTTCCCATCAATAGCCAAAAACTCTATAGCTCTTCTTGCTTTTCTTTCCAATGTCAGAAGACTAGATATTTGACAGACCAAAAAACTGTACTGCAAGAATCAATTCCTGCTCATCTCATTCACACAAATAATTCCATTTTTGTACAAAAATATTTGTACAATGAATTGTAACGAGCTTCTCCAAACAATCAGGCATTATCTACCATCTTACACAGGAGTCTCTGTCGATTGGGGCATGATCCTACCAATGTCTAAGTCTGTTTGATTTGCTCTGGTTTTGCAAGCAGTATTGATCTTGGCTTTTCGTCTTGCTCTCTCCTGCAGAAACAAACACTGAAATTCAAGATTCAGCTTCCTGTAGGCTAAACTAAGAAGTAACAAGTCAACGTTGTACAAATCCATGAGGGAAGCAGTGTGCTCACAGCCCCATGCATGCACATTTCCCATCTCCAGCAGCACCCGTGGCCTTGAAGCCTGATGCTGGAAAACACTACAGCTGGCTCTCACAGAGTCCCCTGGAAGTTTGCACACCTCTTCCAAGAACGTTAACTGTGCCTTCTTTCAAAATTAATATGGCTTCAGTCAATTCTGACTGACACGGAGGAAAAGAAAATATTTACTAAACATAAGGCAATAAGCAGAGGACCACAGCTGCTATGCTGGAATAGCAAACTAGCTAAAGTAAAGCCTTTACAAATGGCAAAACAGATTTGTAGCCTCATATTTACTAGCCGTAAATGATAACACTACTAAACAAACCCTGAGATGACTCAGCAAGAGGGTCATGACCACCTCAGAAATCCTTGTTTATTTTAATTTTGATACCCAAGGACTCACTAGTACTTCATCACCAGGGCTGCCTCCCAACATCTGCAAGGATAAAAATATAATCTACCATTTCCCACTGAGCAATGAAGAAAGAAAAAGGATGCTCAAGACTAGTTGAATACCTGCTGCATCAATAAAGACACTGAGTAAAACAGGGTAGGCAGCCATTAAAGGGTAAGCAAGGGACAGAAATGCTTCCCACCCACGACAGAAGTCAAGGATGAACCTATAAAAAGCAGTGCTTTTCTTAGGGGTAATACTTTCCCCACAGTCTACACACTTCTTTTAATCTGGGCTAATGGCAAGAGTAAATTATAGTTGTTTGCGTATTTGCCTAAAGCTGGCTAGAATATTTCCCTCTTTCTAATTCTTGCATGCATTATTTTGACTGATGACTAGCAGATGCTGAAACAGGGATGCTACAATATTTGTACCCTGGTTTCAACACAGTTACTTTATCACCAGTGTCATCTAATCTGAGGATGTCACCCCTGAAAATATACCTAAGTGTTGACTTAGTCTGACACTATTTAGATGTTCTAATTTAACAGACTAAACTGAAAGACAAAATGACCACAGGCTCCTCAGCTATCTTTGACAAATTCACAAATAAAGATTTGTATTAGCCTTCTGTGTACTACTGCTTTGATATGGAAGAAATTATTATCAAATACTATTTTATTTCTTCCATTTGATTAGACATATTTTTTTTCCTTACTGAAACCACTTCAGGAAAAGCAAAGAAGGAAACAAACATTTAACTTCCCAAAACCAGAGAGAAAGAGGACCTTGGGATGGGGAAGGATGTTCAACATGTTCATCAACACTTGTGCTTTCTCCTTTTCACATACAGCTGCAAAGCTGAAAAGCAGCAAGCTGTGAGGAATAAAATAATTTGCATTTACAACAGAAGTGTCTAACAGCAAATAAACAATCAAACAGGTTTTAAAATTGTTCTCTAGTTCCGTTATAATTTTTAATCTTATCTTTAATAGCGTGCTGTAACTTTGCAGACTGGTCAATAAAGAAGCCTCAAACAGGTCAGACTGCACAGCTACTGAACAAGGGGAACGGACAATTTTAGGGGTCTGGACTTGTCCTCACTCAGGGACTATAAAAAACATCACCACTCGAGTTACAGAAATCTTTCATTTATTATACACATCTCTACTATACTGAATGCTTAAAGCTAGCTCACTTTGATTTTTTTTTTTTCCCCTAAGAAAACAATTGTCTTATTGAAAGTGGCTCCATTTACCTACAGAATTAAAAAATAAAAAGCACCTGAGCAGTAGCTACAGCAGAAATAATCCAGGAGCAGTTAGGCCTCCAGGTCCTTGAAACTTCTACCTACACCCAAGCTGCTTTCTCTGTCTTTTCAAAGCACATCCTCCCATTGCCAACCCTCCTCTTCCTCCTCTCCGCGCTTCCCTCTCCACTTCCACACATACCTTAAAGGTCATCAGCCCCTTCCAGAGCTGGAAACCCACAGAATAACCCTCAATTCTGATACAGCAGCAACCACTCCTGCACTCAGGAACAAGAAAAGGCAATTTAGGAAGGAAACTGAGAATTTTATACCAATTTATACCAACAACCTGAATATATATTTGCTTGCAAAAGAAAGAAATTCTTTGTCTGTAGCTTTCAGCTTGGCATGTTTCACCCAGAGACTCCACTTTAAAAAAAAAAGGGGGGGGGCGCAAAAAAAATAATAAAAGAGCACTTGCATCGAAAATATTACTTTTTTTTTCTCCTTCTTTTCTTTTTTTTAATACCTCTGTAGGCAGCTCCATTGCCAGCTTCCTGCTATCCTCACATCCCACTGGCAGCCACAGCACTAATTGCAAACATGTGTTGGTACAAGGATTCAGATTGAATTACTGAACTATCTCTCTACACAGCAAAGAGATGTGTGCAGCTGGGACTTTAACCTCTGTAAAAAGTCACGGATTTAGGACAGACGTAACCTTATCTTCCGCTTCCCCTTTCCCCAGAACACTGAAAAGACAAACAAAATTGCAGCACTCCTGTTTACAGAGAGAAAGTAAGCTACAGCCCCACTACAGCAATGTGGCCGGACATTTGCTCCCACCCATAACCCAGGTGCTTTTGGGGAACACAAAACACCTACAGACATCATCCCATGGTACGCAGACAGAGGAGAGCTCTTACATCCGGGCAGGCAGCCGATTTTGGATAGCTCTTCAAAAGTCATATTTGGCTGCAGACCAGTTGGCCCGCGGGCTGCAGCTCACCACAGCATCTGCCTGTTCCTGCCAGACCAAAGGCCCCTTTTCCCCACTCTGCTTAAAGGACGAGGGGCTTTTTTCTTTCTTGTCTGATCAAACGAACATCCCTGAAGTAAAATATAGACTGAAGTTTTGCAAGGCGCGTGTCAGTGCTGACTTCTCCACCAGATGACCTGAAGCCAGACGAGAGCAGCACTAGCCGCAGTTGTCTGAAGATGTGACATTACTTGTGACTAAAAATGAAACAGTCGTGTTCAGAAAATTTACATTCTAAGAACTCACTAAAAAAGGAATGAAGTCAAGAGCCCCAAATGACACTTCAGAACTATATTTAAGTTATTAAACAAGTGCCAGGCTTTGCACTGCATCAGCTGCAAGTCCCACACAGCGACTGCAGCAGCACAACCCACCCCTCCCAGAGGAGCCACCCCACAGGGGAGCTGCAGTGGGTGCACTCTGGCATACTGCAAAACAAGCCCTGGTCTCCAAGCAGTCCAAGCAGCAGGGTGAAAAACGCCCACAAATTCAAAGTATTCCCCTCCTGGGAGTTACTGGCTCCCTCCTGGCTTGCCCTGAGGTCTCCCCATCCTGGAGGGATCAATCCCCTCTCCACAAGAGGAACTGCTCAGGTGGGAGCATCCCTTCTATCCAGTAGGTGCTCATGGGATAAAAATGAAGCCTATGATCTACCCACAGGTACAAAACTGCCTGCTATTTATCTCTTATAAGGCTTGAACAGCAATAATGGGGAGTGGGGGGAAAGGACTGCACCAATTTTTCTGTATTAAAGAAACCAGAATGCATGTAATGTACAAGGCAGTGCTCCTGAAGAAAACGAGGAAAGAAGAAAAGTGAGACCACAAACCAGCCCCCATCCATGGGGAAGTTAACGTGCACCACAGGTATAAATTTGCCCCCCTCCCCCCATTTCCTCTCACGTTAAGATATCAGGGAAAAAAATAATAATTTCTTCATCAGTTATTTTGTGGTTTGCATAAACAAAAGTGCATAGGAGATAAAAGACAAAATATCACAAAAGACAGCAGCATTTCTAGTTAATAGCATCAGACAG